GTTTATTTTGTTTAGTTCTTTTTTCGTAACAGATTTAATGTTTACTATAGAGCTTAGAAAAAGTTGGCAGTGTGATATAGGCAATAAGTAAGGCATGTAACAACATCAGCACGGAAAATGGCACTCCTTTAATGGCAAGGAAGGGCAAAAATATTTTAAGTCAAGTGATAGCGATTGCTGTATTAGTCGTACATTTTTGAATCAAGCACGGACAACGCCGGGCCATGCTGCTAGTATATATATAATCGCCGAGTATAGTGAGCACATATATTCTTTAATTTGTATTTTTTAATATTCTGTACAGTAAACGAAATTAAATAAATATAATGTATAATGAATAAATGCAGAGTCTACACAAATGTGTGTATCTAATAAAAAATCCGTTTAAAGGGATAGAAATTGTCGTATTTACGAATAAAAATTCCATTGCTTCTTTATATATATATATATATATATATATATATATATATATATATATATGTATACCTTTCATGTACTTGTAAAATATTCTATGTTATATTTCTGTGTATTGGGTGCCTTTTTACATATTTTTTTCTCGTGTTTTGTTTTGATTCACATTATGAATTGTGATGCAATGTGCAATTTTTGCATATGTATATGAAGACACTTGAATTTTTGCATATGTATATGAATATTTGTTACAAGTTCATAAATACAGCGACATTGTTTAAATAGGCGTAAAATTTAACCTGTATTTGCTTACTAATTTATGTATATTTATATCTGTTATTTAATAATATAAATATATTCTTACGCACAATGTCTGCATTTGTGATTGTAGTGGTATGTATATATATATATATATATATATGTGTGTGTGTGTGTGTGTGTGTGTGTGTGTGTGTGTGTAAATCCAATATTTCCTATTGTGTTTATTATCTGAGTATTGGAAACCATATAATATTTATCAGAGCGCATTAAGAATACGTTTGCATATATATATATATATATATATATATATATATATATATATATATATATATATATGTATCTATGTATGTATGTATATATATATATATATATATATATATATATATATATATGGTTATGTATGTTATAACATATGTGTTTGTTCGACAGGACGCAGCGGCGGGCATTTGCCGCATTATGTTGGCGTTTATTACACATGGGCCCGAGAACAAACGTAACGAAATTACTGTAATGTTTTTTTTGGGCCGCTCTTTTTCTCTTGCAGCAGAGATCCTAAGAACCCCATCCAATCCCATAGAAAACAATGATCTCCGCTGACCCCTCAAAATGAGCAAACCTAACATAAACCTCCACACTTCATTGTAAAATGCAGATCAGAATAAAAAAAAAATCAAAAAAAAAAAAATACGAGACCCCAAAAATGACATAAAACATAAATACAAATAAAAATTGCCTTTCTTTTCCCAGCTATTTTTTTCCTTTTTCTTTATTTCATATTTGGTCTTGTGCTATTTTGAAAGCAAAAAATGCCTGCAGTGCTTGTAACCAAATTGAAAATAATAGCCATTGTAATTGCTAAAAATGAAGCCAATTCAACCGAATTTTTGTCTCGGGGTTCTTCTTAGAGCTGTTCATAATTCATAAGAAGAAAAAAAAGTTGATTGAAAAAGAAATAGCAAAAAAAAAAAACTTTAGTGAGGCCATAATCTATTCTAAAAAATGTCTTACATTTGTAATATTGTAGCCTGCTTTTGTCTGCTGAATTCCTACAAACGGGTATTGCAGCTATTCTGAACTTTTATTTTTGTTCAGGTATGTGTAGGATAGATCATACGATTAATATAAATTTGATGTCTGATATATATCGTGTGAATCAGGTCTTCATTTTTTAAGCGAGTTCACCGTAAGTAAGGCAATAAAGCCACTAAGGCACAAGGGATTACTAGGTGTGGAAGAATTAGAAAACAGAAACATTACTAAGAAGCGGTAACAAAGAAAGATTAATCAGCAAGACGGATTATTAATGAGGAAAATAGCTTCAAATATCCGTTCAATCAAAATCAATTTCTTTAATGTTAAAATACGCAATTCACGTTAACGTTTACGTGGCGTTGCCTTGTGAAGAAAATTGATGATTGAATAACACTGATGTGATGTATATATGAATAATTTATTTATATATATTTTTTAATCGAGTTCACCCCAAGAAAGGTAATAAAACCACTAAGACACAAGGGGTTACTGGTTGTGGATGAACGAGAAAACAGAAACATTTCTAAGGAGCGAGAAGAAAAAGAAGCGTAGTCAGGAAGAAAGTAGATAGTGATTGACATTGCATTTAAATTTTTGAAGTTTAAATTTAATTGGAAAGCATGGAGCCGGAAGGGATTTCCACAAGCTAGAAGTGCATGAAAAGAAACTGTTAGCATAGAACTTACGGCTACGTATACATCTAGCCAACTCGACTGTAAATTGATGAGATCTCGTCGTCAGTATCGTACTGACCTTAAATTCGTAAAGTCAAGGTACCAAAGCGAAGAGCTCACAACAATAATTATCATAAAAGAATTCATACGAAAGGCACAAGGTGGGGGGAACACGCCAGATTTGGACCATTAACATTCCCGATTCTTCTTTGGATTTTATCAAGGACTAGCAGTACAGCCCGGCGTTGCCCGGGGATGTAACAGTAAGAGATAGATCAAGTATCGGCCATCATAAAAACTGAAAAAATAATTGACAAAGATTATTGTTTAAGGTTGGCATAATTAAGACATGCGTGTCGCATGTCTTAATTATTTTTTTTGTATTTGTTTTTTTTTAACGAATTGGTCAAACCCAAACTCAAACAAAATCATTGTTTTCAATCGTTATAAGTCTACCGATTGAATAGAATTTTATTATAAACAATTGTCTTGTAAATGGAATTTTTAAAGCATTCTAAATGTAAAAATAAAGAAAAAAGTGTGCAAGACAATAAGAAACACTACCTGCCAAAAAAGTAAAGTTTTGTTGAAATCGGTTGAAAAATGTAGGAAATCCGATCCCATATATAAACAAACGCAGACACACACACAAACAACCTGGGTTTTATAATAAGTATAACTCAATATGAGTTGCCTCCCTTTCATTCTGGCCACTTAATCGTCTTTTCAAATTGATTTCGTGCAAAATCAATTGTGTTTTTCCACCTTTTGGCGCTGTCAGAACCACCGCCGAGTAATCTTATTTAGACTTGTGTAGTTTTGTTGAAATCGGTTGAAAAATGTAGGAAATACGATCCCATATATAAACGAACAGACACACATACACAATCTGCGTTTTATAATAAGTAAGACCTCTGCTATTCCCAAGCTGTCACCCATCTAGATACTGACTAAGCTCGATATTACTTAACTTCTGTGTTCTATGTGAACTAGCGTTTCAAATTTATATGGCAGTAAGCCCACTATCCCACCGCACATCTAAACTTAGAGCACCTGTTATTCCTAAGTGGTCACCCGTCTGGTTACTGACCATGCTCAACGTTTCTTAACTTCGTTGATCGTACCAAAACACCGTGTTTCAATGTGATATTGCTGTAAACCCATTATACCACCCGCACATCAAAGCTTATAGCACCTGTTATTCCCAGACAGTCACCTATTTAGATACTGATGAGGGGAGACGTTGCTTAACTTCGTTGACCGTACCAAAACCCGTGTTTCAATGTGATATTGCTGTAAACCCATTATATCACGCGCACATCAAAGCTTATAGTACCTGTTATTCCCAGAGAGTCACCTTTCTCGATACTGATCAGGGTAGACGTTGCTTAACTTCGTTGATCGTACCAAAACCCGTGTTTCAATGTGATATTGCTGTAAACTCATTATACCGCGCGCACATCAAAGCTTATAGTACCTGTTATTCCCAGACAGTTACCTATCTAGATACTGATCAGGCGAGACGTTGCTTAACTTCGGTGATAGTGTCTCGTGTTTTATTACCAGCGATAAGGTTTATGAGATGAGGTTTTCTAAGCGATCGACCACTTGATTAAAAGGGAATAAAATAATGAGTAAATAAATGAAAACTTGAGGGTAAAGTGACACTTGACCGGAAGTTAAAACTATCCGATTGCATCCGTATATAAGTATAATTTGTTTTAGACTGAGGGAGAAGTGAGCCGTCCTTCTAACCAGTGACTCTCGATAGAAGTCTCTCATCCTTGTCTCCCAGAGAGAATATTAGGTCCGATCCGAAACATGACCAGGGAATAAATAAATAAAATACTGAAAACTGAATTATTTTTTTCTTATCTTGAGGCGTTAAATTCATCTTTCTTTTCATTTAAGAATGTGTAGCGAGCCATTCCTAGTTTTTGTGTACATCGACACAGTGTAGACACGAAAAACAATGGGATGATTTGTCCAGCCGGTGAAAACCTGAGAGGGGGGGTTATGTTATATTTTGACAAGGTTATGTTGTATGTTGACAAGGTTATGTATTTTTTATATCAACGTCCTCGCTCGGTGTTAAGTAAGAATTATAAAATAAATTAGCTTTTAATACAATAAGTCAGCAAAGATAGGTATTCATCTATTCCTAGAAGTATAGGATATTGAATGACTAATGTAATTTTCGGATGCGACAATGAAGGACGCATTGAATTAATTAGCTGGAGAGGTTTTCATTACCAAAGAAAAAAAAATATTCAATCGCTCGAAAAAGTTTAAGGACATTTAGTCTTTAAGCTGAGCTGATATAGAACAAAAAGATAGCGACAAAAATGGTGAGGTTATATCAATAGACATTTGCATACATTATCGCTTTATTAATACACGCTATTTTGGAATATTAAAAAATAAAAAAAAAACTCTAAGTTCTTTAAAAAAAGAAAAATTGTCTCATGTCATATAATGGTAAGCCGGCTAAGACGTTTTTCTTTCAGTACGTTTGAGAATTATGACGGAGAGATTTTCAAGCAAAAGCGAGCCTGAAAATAATTTTCTCTTTCTATTTTGATAGCTTTCGTCGGGAGGTTATTCATCTTCCTGTGGCGTTGCATGTCGTCTGCTCTTTGCATATATTTCGGCAGTATATTAAATCTATTCTTCTCCATCCTTGCGTTATGTCTCTCGCATTCAATTTTGCTTCAGGTGTCTTTTTTTAATCTAAAAACTGGAGAGAGTCATGCAACATATTCGCGGGGCCAACCATAATTTTAGTACGATAAAAAATTATTTATAGCCCGAACAAAAACAATGAAAGAAATGATTGCAAGTAATACAACAAATAAAATAAAAATGAATTGATAAAATATTTTAAAAGCAAAAAGAACAAAAAAATTGAATGTAAAAAAAAATAGCAAAAAAATCTGTTTAAAAAAGAAATGATTTAATAAAAAATTTTTTAATAATTTCAAAAAGTTCTATTCTCGCTATAACAACAAAATAAAATCCGGATTATAAAATGGAGAATATTAAGAGCATTTAGAATTTGTAGCCCACAGTATTTACATGCTGAGGAAAAACAATTTACGCTCCTTAAATATAGTAATTATTTCATGTTTAATGCTAAATAGAAAGCCTCTCACATTTTTAAAATTAAAAGAATAAACGATATTAACATAGTACAAAAGATATCTAAAAAGAACAAAAATTATTGATAATAAAAAATTATATTATAAATTAGGCTATAGTTGATGTAAAAAAATATATGTTTTTTACAATTATGTTCAAGAGCCACTTTAGGTAGAGAGTTACAGAGTAAGAGCGTAAAACGTTGTAATAAAAATGGTGACAAAGATGAGGACAATAGTTCTAATAATATAAATAATGAACTTTTAATGTGTTTTATTACTTTTATTGCGAAATATTGAATGTTGCTAAATAAATGATATTATATTTTGGCATTGTTGATTGTATTTAAAAAAAATTATAATTTCATATGCACTAGCCATACCTCTCTCTCTCTCTCTCTCTCTCCCTCTCTCAGTTTATATTCTTAGTCTCCAGGATGTCTCTCTTATAACTCCTCCTCTCTCTATCTCTATCTCTGTCAGTTTATATTCTTAGTCTCAATGATTTCGTTTTTATTACTTACGCTTCTTCTCTTTTCTAATCCCCTCTTTTTCTATATGTCTTTCTTATTACGCTTCTTCTCTTTTCTAAGACCCCTGCCTCTCTCTCTCACTCTCTCCTGCTCTCTCTCTCTCTCTCAGTTTATATTCTTAGTCTCCAGGATGTCTTTCTTATAACTCCCCCTCTCTCTATCTCTATCTCTGTCAGTTTATATTATATTTTGAGATTACCAACACACAAACAGAAAATGTCTCATATCGAGAATATTTAACATTGAACATGAAGAAAAATTAATTATTTTTAATAATATGTGATAATCTCCACTTTTACCTGAAGACGGTCGCGAGACCAGAAACACGTGTCGTAAAATTATGTAAACAAAGCATAATATTTTTTTTCTAAATAAATCCACATTACAACCAAAAACGTTTGCGGCACCTCTCTTCTCTTCTTTTTAATATATATACTTTTCTCTCGTTGGAACCACTACATTATATTTCTGTTATGTTATGTTAGAGTAAGAGGTAGAGTTTATGTGGATATATGGAGAAGTTAATGGTTGACTCTCGACTTGGACAAGATTATAGTGATCGGGGAAGCATTCTCCTGAGAGTCAGTTCCACAGTTCCCCGTGAGAAGAGCGGAACTTACACGTTACCAATAAAATAAGAAGGGAGTGAGTCTAGTTCGCTACAATGTGCATCGCGTGGATGGTCTTAGCCTGGAAGGTTAAAACTGGCGAAACTAATTAATGTAGCTCGTCTGAACACTTCCCTTGAAATCGCGATAGAGCAGCAAGTGACTTGCTACGTTTCGTCTCAGGGAAAGGTGTTGTAAGGTGGAAAATCATTATTCATCCACAAGGAAGCGGATAACTTTTCAGACTCTATCGAGTTTGGAAAGTGTAGACTGTCCATATATGGCTAAATTTTCGGTTCGAACTGGCTCTTGTAAAGATAGAGGGAAGCAGGATGAGTCACTTACTGGGGCGGTAGAGTCAACCGATAATTTTCCCATCATCCTTAGCGAAGGTTCATATGTACACTTTAGGTTTGGGCTGAGCTCTTCACGATAGGCGGTCAACTAACGGCGCCCCAGAGAAAGCTCCAATTCACTGCGACTGGGGAAAATTCAGGCTACGCTCAGTGTTGATGGAACGTCACTAGTTTGATTTTGTTGGCATTGAATGTAAACAGCCAGTTTTCTCTCACTGAGCTGTTAAAGCTAGATCAGAGGACATATCAGCTACCAGGCTATGGTCATCTAGAGTCTGGGAAGTGCAGCTATATATTGTTGTATCATCACCATACATATTCACAAATGATCGAGGTAGAATTTATGCAAATAAGAAAGACGGTTGGACCGAGAAATGAGCCTTGGAGAACTCCGACATGAATCACTTGAGCCGAGAAGGACTGGTAGTTAACAGCTACCTTTAGGGACCTACCTTGATTGAGAAGAGTGCTTCGGTGATTCCAAAGCCAGATATCTTGTGTAGTGACCCCTAAATGCCACTACTTTGTCAAAGGCCTTTCAAATATCTAACGTGATTGTCCCTGACATGTATTTGCTGATGTTGCCTCACTGATTCTTTGAGAAGCGACGGCTATGATATCAGCAGGGGACCGAGACGATCGAAATCTGTACTGCTTGTTGCTCAAGCGGCTGTCCCTGATGAGGTTATCAACAAACCTTGTTGATTATAGTTTCTAAGTTCGATAATAACACTGGAGGATGATGAGAAAGAGATGAGGGCTGACCTAAATTATTGACAACAGATCACTTGACACTTTCCACAGACCGAGGAAGAATTTGTTTTTTAAGCACCGGTTAAGTAATTTCGTAAGATTAGAGTTGACTCAGGGTTAATCTCTTATCACTGGGATTATATCTGTACATTTAACCTTCTTAGGTTTAAGACTTTTGAGATGCCTTGAGACTTCTCGTGCAGTGATAAAATAATATTAATGATACGGGGGAAGTTACGAAGGGGATTTCTTTATCATCTAACGTTGAGTTAGTGGGAAATAAATCTTTGCTTCTCTTCTGAATTTGGTTCCACTGACACCCGGGACCAAAGTTGTTTGTTTTCGACCAAGCTCTGTAATTCTTTTGTATAGTTACAATGCGTTCTCTAGAACACATTTGCAATGATTGCTGGTAGTTTTGAATGCAACAAATGCACCCTTCCTATATATATATATATATATATATATATATATATATATATATATATATATATTCTATGAGTGGTTACGGTGAGGTATAGTTGGTGCCACGTTGGGGTAATGGATATCAGAGGAATCGGAGAGCCGAGTTTGAATTCTAGTTGAATCCATTACATTCACTTACGCTTGGGAAAGGTATGAATCCTCTTCTTCTCTCCCCAGCTATGGGTAAATAGGAGACAGAACGTGTTCTATAAAACTTGAATGACAACTGGTGTACTGCAGAAAAAAAATGACAACATACAGCGGGAAAAATCTGCCTCTTCAGTCATGTATCGAAAGATACATAATCGCCTAAGTGTGTATCACGCATGACACATAACTGACTGCTGGCTGGAGGCACGTTGGAGTAATGGATAACAACTCAGATTTAGGAACCAGAGAGACGAGTTCGAATTCCAATTGAATCCATTACATTCACTTACGTGCTAATTCCCTTGAGAAAAGTATGTATCATTATCGTCTCCCTCCAGCTATGGATAAATAGCATGACAGACCGAGTTCTATAGCTCTGAATGGCAACTGGTATACTGCGGGAAAAATCTGCCTCGTCAGTCATGTATCGAAAGATACATGATCACCTAAGCATGTATCACGCATGGCACATAAATGACTGACTGATGGCTGCAACGCAATCAGGGGATGAATCAGTCCTGGCTGTTAGGGTTTTGCTGGTTTTTTTTCCTGGAGTATAAAACTCTTATTCCAGAAAGGATCTATTCCGATATTAGGGCAACAGTATTAGTGGCAATATGTCTGAAGAAGAGCTTCCACCATTAAAATCCACGCTTCCCTGTCACTTACGTTCTTCAAAAATTTAAATGCAATGTCAATCGCAATCTTCTGTCCCTCATCGCTTCTGTTCTTTTATTAACTTTTCTCTTCACTAACCTCTTCTCATTTTCTTTCCTTCCCAATAAATTCTTGTGTCTTAGTGGCATTATCAGCTTGCTTGGGGTGAAATTGATTAGAAATATGCATATGAATGCTAGGAATTACAAGCATTGAAGTTGCATCAAGACAGCTTCTGACCAAGAATTGCCGTCTTGCTGAACAGATATCTACGGGGATGCTTTCAGGAAAGTTAGAAATTGAAGAAGAAAAAAAAAAAAAGAAAAGAAAAAGAAAAGCGATTACGAGAGATAACAAAAGGACCGAGCTGTAAAATACAGGAAGTAGTGGAGAGCCTACGTCCGAACCAATCATAAAAAAATATAAACTCTAGAAGAGAACTTCCCCCGTTTGGAAGTCTCTTTCAATCCACCTACGCTCTTCAGAAAGTTAAATGCAACGTCAATCGGCATCTTTAGCCTTGTTGAAACTTGCTCTTTTATTGTCTTTTCTTCTTTCTAATGTATTCTCATACACATTCACTCCAACCACCTCTTCCGTCTTATTGGCTTTGTTGCCTTGATTTGCTTGAAATGATTAAAAAATAAAGAAAAGGACAAGAAAAGGGATTTCGAGAAGCAGCAAAAGACAAAACTATAAAATACATAAGCTTATTAACTGTAATATAGAACATAATACGTTGGCTAAAAGGATCGATATACACCTGATGAAGCCCAGAGCTTACAACGGCCGAAACGTTGTAATAACAACAGCAAGGATATCAATAGTATGAACAGTATTGGTAATGTAGAAAATAGTACGAAAATTATTATAGTAATATCATAAAATATAGCATGTATAATTTTGTAGTAAATAGTATTTACATTATAGAAATAAAACCTATAATATTATAGTATAATATTATAGAAAATAACATATTAAATAGTATATAAATTGCATAAATAATATTATAGAAAATATAAAATATAATGAATATCGTAAATCTACTAATAAAAATGATCTCATAAATTTCTACTCTCACCAGAAGAGCAAAATAATATACGGAACAATTATCGGTTTCTTTTTAAAAGCACCTAGAACTTGTAACCTACAATATCTATATCTTGATGAAAAATATATTAAACTACTCTTAGCTCTTCCAGTCAGTTAGAACTGCTAAGCAACATTGACATATTCCGGAAAGACATTAAAATAATCAAGAATCTATACTAGCAGGAAAACCTCCTGCATACGGACAGAAAATAAGTTCAGCATATATGCAAAAATAGAAAGTAGCGTAAAACAAGAATGCATAATCTCACCAGATTTATTCAATCTATCCAGCGAGGCATTTCTGAGTGAATTAGTAGTTCAAGATTCATTACAATATAAGATATGCAAATGACACAGTTTTGGTAGAAGACACAGAAAGGAAACCACAAAAGCTCCTACAAAAGGTAATGAAGTAAAGCGCTAAGAAAGAAGTATAAATTACAGGAAAATAGAAAGTATGGTTATCAGCAAAAGGGTCTGCCCAAAATGCAAATTACAAATTGGGGATGCTAAAATCAAACATATAGAGAAATTTAAATATATGGGAAATCTTCTAACAGAGGAGGAAAAGTGCGACACTGAGATCCAAAGACGTGCTGGGATGGCCAGAAGTTCATTCCAAAAGCTAAGCAAAGTATTCAGAGACAGAAAATATCGTTAAAAACAAAGAAAAGAGTACCGAACTGTTACATGATATTTGTATTCCTCTATGGCAGCAAATGCTGGACAATCTCCTCAAAGATGAAGAAGAGACTTCAATCAACAGGAATGTGGTTCTATAGAAAGATGCTGAGGATATCCTGGACGGAACATGTGAGCAACAGTGGGGTTTTGGAGAAAATGTTATAAAAAAAAGAAGCTTATACTTAACATCAGGAAGAGGCAGTTGGAATTTCTGGGGCCCGTGATGAGGAAGGAGGGCTTGGAAAATTTGATTTCAAGAAATAGAGTAAAAAGGGTCAGTGAAAATCAGCACGTAACATACTTGATGAGCTTTCATTATTTCAGAAGCTTGAAAAACATTTATTTTGTCTTGTTTTTCATTCATTCTTTCTTTCTTAATTTTATCTCCTCCCTTCTTTCATCCATAGTATTGTTTCTTTGTTTCTTAATTTCTTTCCTAATTAATCCATTCTTTCTTTCTTTCTTTCTTTCTTTTTCCTTTCTTTCTTTCTTTCTTTATTTCTTTCTTTCTTTCTTTCTTTCTTTTATGACGTCATATTTTATACCTCTATTTTTTCTTTCTTTTATGACGTCCTATTTTATACCTCCTTTTTTCTTTCTTTCTTTCATGCCTTCCTATTTTAGAGCGCTGTACTTGCCTTCTTTTTTGCCGTACTATATTAGACCTCCTTTCTTTCTTTCTTTCTTTCTTTCTTTCTTTCTTTCTTTCTTTCTTTCTTTAATGACGTCCTATTTTATACCTCATTTTTTTTCTTTCTTTCTTTTTAATTTCTTTCTTTATTTTCTTTCTTTTCCTTTTTTTTTTGTTCTTGCCTTCTTTTTTGCCGTAGTATGTTTTTTTCTTTCTTTCTTTTTTTCTTTCTTTCTTTCTTTCTTTCTTTCTTTCTTTCTTTCTTTTATGACGTCCTATTTTATACCTCCTTTTTTCTTTCTTTCTTTCATGCCTTCCTATTTTATACCGCTGTTCTTTCCTTCTTTTTTTCCGTCCTATGTTAGACCTCTTTTCTTTCTTTCTTTCTTTCTTTCTTTCTTTCTTTCTTTCTTTCTATATTATTTAATCCCATGGATGTGCTCTTTCTTTTCCAAATACACGAAGTAAATGAACAGAAGAACAGCCTTTGCGAGAAATAAAAAAAAGAAAAAAATTATTAAGAAGGTGTGGAGGGCCATGGTAACTTACGTCCTGAAGGGACACAGCACATAATTATTTCACATTTAACGTGAAATAGAAAATTTATTATTTTTTTAAAGAAAATAATAAACGAACTGAGATCGAGGCATTTCATACAACGAATTTATCTAAATTTAACCTTTGTTACAATAACTTCTATAAGTCTCTTAACTGACGCAAACTAAAATAATAACTAAAACATGAAGCAGGAGTTTATTCTATAACCTGTAATGTTTGACACAAGAAATACATAGGTGAGACATCAAAAAATTAAATTAAATTATTTTATTAACACAAAAATAATATTTTGTAGAACAACGCACGCCTAGTAATAGTCGCTCACTGTAATGAGTTTGACAACAAACTTTTAAAAAAAATGCCACTTTAATAAAAATGGATAAAAGTTTACTAAGACAAAAATGAATAGAAAGTGCATTGATTACTAAAATACGCGCAATAAAATTGCGTACAGAAAGAAAGAAAATGTCAAACTTCTAATTTATGAAATGATCCAGTGGTGAATATTAATCAGTTTGATGAACCATCATAGAGTTAAAAAAAAAAAAAAAAAAAAAAAAAGCTAATACTTAGTTGTCAGGCTGTGGATTTTTGGGTCCCGCCTGAATGTACCTGCTCACTCAATGTTTAATACTTATCTATCTATTAATCTATCTATTAATCTTAGTTTTTGTTTTTTTTCATACGTTTAAGACGTGTAACATAATTTGTACATAAAGATCACATTGTCAAGGGCGATTATTTCTTGCTCGTCTTTGGCCGGATCAGAGGATGAAAATCTTCTTTTAAAACTTTTAGATCAACCACTCATTATCCGGGCTCTAATGAAATCAAAGGGTTTCATTCACCGGATATGAAGTTCATGTTAGTCATCAGGAGATCAGAAAAAAAATATGCAGAATTAGTATGAACTAATGAGTCCTTTGGGGAAGAAAGGAAATTGTTGCAGAATGAAATATCCTTGGAAGCCAAATTGCAGAGGTGGTTGCGAAAGCTTATAAGAAATTAGCAGCTTTTCTTTGATTTCTGACAATGGTCAACAACTACAGGGTTCATGATATCAGAAGCTTGAACAGATTTATTTTGCCTTGCTTTTCTTTCTTTCTTTCTTTCTTTCTTTCTTTCTTTCTTTCTTTCTTTCTTTAATCCCATGACTGTGCTCTTTCTTTTCCAATCAAGATTATTATTATTATTACAGAATTCTATCCGCGTGAACTGTTGTAGTGTTTAGCTTTTAGATCCGTGACTCCTACTCCCCTTCGTTAGTGAGTTGCTATATTTTTTTCTTGGTTTCCTACCTTTATTCCCACCATTTTATTTGACTGGCATAAAAAAGGCATCACAAGGCATGCAATGAGGACATAACTAACTAAAATAATGATGTTTTGCTTTGGTTGCTTCATAAGTATTGCTATTTAGAAAAGAACAACAGGTTTCTTTTGCAGTCTTTTCTGCAGTCAAACAATATCTATCTATCTATCTATCTATCTATCTATCTATCTATCTCGATTTGTTTACCTCGATACATCTATTGCATTCAGTTCATCATACTTCTTTTCTTTCTTCTTTCTTTCTCTCAACCTGTTCCTTATCTATCTATCTATCTATCTATATCTATCTATCTATCTATCTATCTATTGATCCTTCTTTCTTTTTCTTATTGATTCTTTCTTTCTTGCTTTCTTTCTTTCTCTAAGTCTGTTCCTTATTTATCTTTCTCAATTTGTACATCTATTTCAGTCATTTCATCTGGCATCTTTTTTCTTTTTTTCTCTCAACCTGTTCTTTTTACATCTATTTCAGTCATTTCATCTATCTATCTGTTTTCCTTTCTTTTTTTCTTTCTTTCAACTTTCTTTTCAACCAGTTATCTATCTATCTATCTATCTATCTATCTATCTATCTATCTGTTGATCTATCTATTTTCATTTTATTCTTTCTTTTTTTCTTTTCTTTCTTTCTTTCTTTCTTTCTTTCTTTCTTTCTTTCAACTCCTTTTTCATCTATCATCTATCTATCTATCTATCTATCTATCTATCTATCTATCTAATTTTATCTTCATTGATTTTTTCTTTTCTTTCTTTCAGTATTTTAATTTATCTATCTTTCAATCAGTTCCATTATCTATCTTCTTTTTTCTATTTTAATTTTCTTTCTTTCTTTCAATCAGTTCCTATCTATCTATCTATCTATCTATCTATCTATCTATCTATCTATTTCTATCTATCTCGATTTGTTTTACCTCGATACATCTATTGCATTCAGTTCATCATACTTCTTTCTTTCTTCTTTCTTTCTCTCAACCTGTTCCTTATCTATCTATCTATCTATCTATCTATCTATCTATCTATCTATTGATCCTTCTTTCTATCTTATTGATTTTTCTTTTTCTTTCTTTTTAAGTCTGTTCCTTATTTATCTTTCTCAATTTGTACATCTATTTCAGTCATTTCATCTGGCATCTTTCCTTTCTTTTTTCTCTCAACCTGTTCCTTATCTATCTATCTATCTATCTATCTATCTATCTATCTATCTGTTTTCTTTCTTTTTTCTTTCTTTCTTTCTTTCTTTCTTTCTTTCTTTCTTTCAACCAGTTCATCTATCTATCTATCTATCTATCTATCTATCTATCTATCTGTTGATCTTTCTATTTTCATTTTCATTCTTTCTTTTTCTTTCTTTCTTTCTTTCTTTCTTTCTTTCTTTCTTTCTTTCTTTCAGCCTTTTCCTTTATCTATCTATCTATCTATCTATCTATCTATCTATCTATCATCTAATTTTTCATTCTTCATTTCTTTCTTGCTTTCTTTCTTTCTCTCAGTCTGTTCATCTATCTATCTATCTATCTATCTATCTATCTATTTTATTTTCTATCTTTCAATCTATCTATCTATCTATCTATCTATCTATCTATCTCGATTTGTTTACCTCGATACATCTTTGCATTCAGTTCATTTCAACCTGTTATTTATCTATCTATCTATCTATCTATATCTATTATCTATCTATCTATTGATCCTTCTTTTCTTTTTCTTATTGATTCTTTCTTTCTTGCTTTTCTTTTTTTCTCTAATCAATTTGTACATCTATTTCATCTGGCTTTTCCTTTTTTTTTCTCTCAACCTATCTATCTATCTATCTATCTATCTATCTATCTATCTATCTATCTATCTATCTATCTATCTATTTTTTTTCTTTCTTTCTTTCTTTCTTTCTTTCTTTCTTTCTTTCTTTCTTTCTTTTTTCAACCAGTTCATCTATCTGTCTATCTATCTATCTATCTATCATCTATCTATCTATCTATCTGTTAATCTTTTATTTTATTTTCATTTTTCTTTCTTTTTTCTTTCTTTTTCTTTCTTTCTGTCTTTCTTTCTTTCTTTCAGCCTTTTTCCTTTATCTATCTATCTATCTATCTATCTATCTATCTATCTATCTAATTTTTCATTCTATCTATCTATCATTTTCAGCAATTCATCTATCTATCTATCTATCTATCTATCTATCTATCTGTTGATCTTTCTTTCTATTTTAATTTTCTTTCTTTCTTTCAATCAGTTCCATTATCTATCTATCTATCTATCTAATCTATCTCTTTTTTCTTTCTTTTTTTCTTTTCTTTCTTTTTTTGAGGAAAGGTTTCTTTTCAAAGAACTATCTATCTATCATATCTATCTATCATCATTTAAAATCTTTCTTTCTTTCTTTGATTGTTCCTTTATTTATCTAATCTATTATCTAGGATTATTTTTAATTATCAGGATGAGAGTACCACTAAGCAAGGGGTGAAAGAGGTTTAAAAAGACTGTTCTACTGTCGTGAGGAAAGGTTAAAACGAAGAACAGAGACCACGACATCAGAAAATGTTGATTGATTTAAATTTTTGAAGATTATAATTATCAGGGAAGCAAGTAAAGAGGGAGTTCCACTGTCTATCTATCTGTTGGAATCTATCTATCTATCTATCTATCTATCTATCTATCTATCTCAATTTGTTCTCATATATACATATATTCTTCGTCCGTTCGTTCGTTCTTTCTTTTTTCTTTCTTTCAGCCTTTTCCCTATCTATCTATCTATCTATCTATCTATCTATCTATCTATCTATCTATCTATCTATCTATCTATCTATCTTGTTCACCAGACAACTGTATTACAATAGAAATTGATATGAAACAATTATGCTTGTACCATTTCTCTGTATTTCGTTTTCTATTGGTTGGTTATTTGAATTTCCGATATACCATCAACCAATCCCGCGAACCCAAATTTTTTCATAATTTTTCCTTCGACCTAAATCAAATTGTATTAATACTTTTCATGTTAACCTTTCTATAGTAATTACCGTCAATGACATTTTCCCATATTTTTAAATTGTTATCAAATTTACAAATATTTTTCGATTTAGAATGTAAAATTTAAATATGTAACTAAAAGTAATACACAAAACCATAATTAAGAGGAAATAGGATTTTGGAAACATTTTTGCTCAAAGACAGAAGCTGGTTCGTGCTGTATTGTTTTAGCATTATTAGATGTCAAAACGAAAGGGATAATCCATTTTGTTCACCCAGTACATGTTTCGGGGAAAGGTCTGTAATGTAATCCTGATAGTTCATCTCCACTTTCGTCACTTTCTCTCTGTCGTGTTGTTGCTTCCGTCTGTCTTTTTATAGCAACAGTTCTGATGAGTCTTGACAGCATGCATTTAAACATTCTACTAGGTTGGCAACTAGGTCTCGCTGTTTTACTGTTGAAAACAGTTTCTACTATTCTAACAGTTTTTTTTTCCTGGTACGTCTCGCCTGTGGAACTCCCGTGCGATTTCTTCCTTCCCTGAAAAGCTCAAATCTCGAAAGATTTAAATGCAGAAGCGTCAATAGCCATCTTCTGTCCTCTTTTATTGTGTTTTCTCCACCTCTTCTCACTAAAGTCGTCTTATTCCCCTTCACTCCCTGTAATCACACCCACTCTATCTTAGGGGCATTGTTGCTTTGCTTGGGGTGAAATGGTTAAACAAAAACTCAAAATAAAGTTACCATTCAAATGTTCATGATGGCTGCGGTGTGATATGAGTGGAACGAAGATATATATATATATATATATATATATATATATATATATATATATATATATTCCCACATACTTATTCACAATTTAAAAAAGGATTACTAGAACCTCTATTTAGACAAAAAGACATTTTCGATAAATCACCCATAAATGCAAAGAAACAATCACCTAACCTATCAGCTGTCCTCACCTCTACCAAATATCAAAACAATACAAACCAGTCAGGAAATTACAAATGTAACAAACTTCGTTGCTTAGTTTGCAAACACTTAATAATAGATAATGTATTTTTTGTACCCAACACCAAGATACACCCACCTCGCCTCACCTGTCATAGCCATAACATCATCTACTATTTATTCTGCACCATATGTCTCAATAGTGGTTATGTTGGTAAATCTGGAAATAATTTTAGATTTCGCTTGAACAATCATAAACAAACCATACGTCAAAACAATCCTTATTCCCCCATAGCTGAACACTTTAATAAATCAGGACACTCATTAGAAAACTGTAAATGTTTATTGATAGATTCTGATTTCAGTTCCACATACACACGCAGAAAAAAAAGAAAATACTGGATTTTAAAATTAAATACATATAAACTAGGGTTAAATAAAGACTTGGGTATTTTAAATCTTCATAAATATTTCAATAGTCAAACATTTTTATACATATTGTTAAAATTAAACAACATCTAAAATATTATTACAGTTAGATTTACGTTAAAAATATTCGAACACAGTGGCGTTCCATATCACGTGACGTCTGCATCTCGCGATGGACGCTACTTGTAACAAACCTCTAAAAATAGTTATTTCTGAAGAAAGATCGAGGTCGATCTTAAATATCAAATATAAATACATACTTTCATAAAAAGCATTAACATTTTTTAAATTTGAAACTTTATATATATATATATATATATATATATATATATATATATATAAACCCTTTCGTTATTTGTTATCTACCCTTCGTATTTTTACTACATAACGTCAGTTTATGAACCAGTAACAGACTTTTACGGAACAATTTTGGTATGCTTTTAAATATTTACTTTTCAAGTGGACGGTGGAAAATTTCTCCATGTGAAAGTGGATGATGATGCAAAAAGGTTGGGAAATCTAGCCACAGATGATGAATACAAGAAAAAAAGAAGAGAGGTGCGCTGGCGTATTTTTGCAGCTTGGATATACTAATGTTCTTGATCAGTTATTCAGTCACTTTATAACCACACCTGTTAACATTATATATATATATATATATATATATATGTAAAGAAATAATCATGCATAGAATCAATCAACAATATTAATGCGATTAATGGCGAAATCCCTTCGCTAGTAGAACATAATGTATGCATTAAAATACTGTTAATCCATTGAATGATGTGATCCTCATTTATAAAACTGTTGTCAGATGTTTCTAGTGTATATTTTTTTAAGTTAAGCAAGTACTTTCGAAGATCCATGTCTCCATCATCAGGCTGTAATTTTTTTCCTTTAAAGACGAAATAATTGTTTGTAGACCGAAAGATGTTTTTTAAGAATGTGCTATTTATTGACGGTTGTACAGTCTCGGAACGTGCGAGTCGCAACGCTAAAGTTCAAAATTTCAAGTGAG